TTTTTCGCCGGGCTTTTTTTTAAACGCCCGCAACAAATTTGCCGGAAATACGTTATATATCCGGTAATTTACCGAAAGTTTTAACCGGAACGTTAAACCGGTTAACCCAACCATTTTTAAAATTTGAAAAGGTTTTAACTATTTGTTTAATAATTTTTTTAACGGCTTTTTTATTTTAATATTCGCCGTATTTAGCAATACCCAATTGCTTACCCCGAAAAGCACCGGGGTTTTGCTTTTATTATAATACTTTTTGTACGTATTATTCGCTTTTTTTAGCAATTTTTTGGCTTGCTTCCTAATTGTTTCCAAAGCCCCCGCTTTAATTTTGGCCATTGCCAAAGGTTTTTTTTTAATTACCCGAAAATTATAAAACTTTTGTAAGTAAAACTTTATTAATAAAAACGCCGGGGTTTTTTGCAACCCCAAATGCACGCTCGTATTGTGCATTTACGTTGCCAAATGCAACAATAACGCCCAATCGTTTTGCTTTTTGCAGCAAAAGCACCGGAAATAATGCTTTATTGCTTGGTTTGTTCGTTCCGTTTGCCCGTTGGTTTAAAAGTGGTATATTGTTAATAGCTTTTTTGCAACCTTTAAATGTCCGGCAAAGGTTGTTTAAAACCCGTTTATAAATAGCTTGTTCCGATTTAATATATGTTAGGAGCACGGGCGAAACCGCCCGGTAAAAAGCGGGGAGCGTTAAATGTACGGGCGAAACCGCCCGGCAAAAAAGGAAAAAGGGGGCGCTAGCAGCCAGCCGGGCACGAACCCCCCGGGGATATGCCGGCAAATTACCGGTATTGCGGCCAAAGCATAATGGCGAAGCTAAAAAATAAGGTAAAGTTTAAATTGCACGAAAGCGCTTAAAGCGCAAAGGATTTAAAAAACCGACCCCGGGTGCCCAAAAGGGTACGAAAAAAGGGAAGGTTAAAAAAAAACAATTTTTATTAGCGATAATACTTTTGGTAAGAAATTTACGGAAGTTTGATAAAAAAAATACCGTATTCGGCCCGTAACCCGGTAATTACCCGTTTTTGCACCGATTAATTTTTAACATATTATTCCTTTTTTTATACCTTTTTTATTTAAGGAATAGGCCCGGGTAATTACCGAAAGGGATCGAACAAATTTAAAAAGGGCATTTGCGATTTTGCATCGCTTATAATAACGCCCGACGCTACGTCGAGCACGTTGGAAAGGGCCGTTAAGCTACCGGAACAAAATATTAAAAAAACCCCGCAAATTTTTAACAATTTCGAAAACCTTTTTGTAAAAAAGTTACAAAAAATAAATAACGCGTTAAAAGCCCAAAGCAAACGCGCCCGTTTAATTTAAAAAATTTAAAACAAAAGGTTAAAGCATGCGCATAAAGGTTTAAATAAAAATAAAAGAAATACTTTTAAGCAACGGAAGGGTTTTACGTAAAGCAAAGTTACTTTTAAACCTTTTATGCTTAAAAAATCGGCAATTTAGCAAAATATTGCTTACTATATTAGCAATTACGAATTTATTTTCGAAAACGAAAGGGAACGTTACGGTAAGGATCGTATAAAGGTTTAAATAGCTTTTAGCATTTTGTTAGGGGTTAATCGGTGCAAAGGCGGGTGGTTACCGGGTTACGGGCCGAATACGGTGTTTTTTTTGTTAAGCTTCCGTAAATCTTTTACCAAAAGTGCTATCGCTAACAAAAATTGTTCCTTTTTTAACCTTCCCTTCCTTCGTACCCTTTCGGGCACCCGGGGTCGGTTTTTTAAATTTTTCGCGCTTTAAACGCTTTCGTACAATTTAAACTTTACTTTATTTTTTAGCTTTGTTATTATGCTTTGGCCGCGATACCGGTAACTCGCCGGCATATCCCCGGGGGGTCCGTGCCCGGCTGGTTGCTAGCGCCCCTTTTTTTTTTTTTGCCGGGCGGTTTCGCCCGTGCATTTAACGCTCCTTGCTTTTTATTGGGCGGTTTCGCCCGTGCTTTTAACATATTGCCCCTTCCCGATACGGCTTATTTTAAGCCGTTTGTACCGCGCGTACGACCCCGTAAGTAACCGGTAGCCTACGGTATTTCGCCAAGCCGCCCCAATGCCCGGCAACGCTTAAAAAAACCGGCTGTAAAGCTTTGTAACATCCGGAAAAATGGGTCCGTACCGGCATATAAAAAGCTTTTTTTCCCGTTCGAAATTACGAGCCCTTTTTTTTCCTTTTTGTACATTTAACAACCATTTTAATAACTTCGACGATCGTAACCGTAAATAATCGGTATTTAATTGCTTTTTTTAAATACCTGGATTTAACCGGTAGCTGCAAATGTTATCCTTTATACCCAATTACGTAAAAAAGGTAATATTTTTTTAAGTATTTGTTTCGGGTTTTTCGGTCCTAACCGGCTCGCTGGCCCCTTTTAGCAACCCCCCGGTATTTTTCCTAGCTATCGTGGTTTAATCGAATTTGGATTCGGTTTTGCCGGAATTTTTAATCTTTTAAATCCCCAACGATTGCTTTGCCGGTAACCTTTTGGTAAACCTTTTAAATATCGCGGGTTTATCGGGCCCTTTTGCGCTTGCAGCCTTTTAGGACTCCCGCAAACGTCCTGCCGGTAACCCCCTAACGGGCTTTAACCGCCGCGGCAAAAAGATTTTCGCTAAAAAAAAGCGTAAAGCGCGCGACAAACGCCGCCGCAACGCTTTTAATTTTAATAAATTTGCCCCCAAAACGGATATTGCTTTTTTTTATTTTATATAAATATTTGCAACGCGCTTCCGTTGCAAAAGGTTATCGATTTCCAATAAAGCGATAATTAAAACCTTATTTATTTGCCCCTTTTTAAAAACAATTATACGGAACGTACGGTATTTTGTAACCGTTATTTTGGTTATTAAGCATATTAAAATTATGCCGTTAACCCTTGTATGCCGATATGCTTCGATAATTGTACGGGGTTTTTTAAATGTATTTATTGCAAGGACGTGGTTAGCAATAAAATTTGCGTTAAATTTCCTAAATGGTTTTAAAAAATGGCCCAAAACCTTTACAAAATTTTAAATACCGTTTACAAACGATTGCTTAAAGCAATACCGGAACTTTTCGAAAAGTTTACCAAAGTTTAATTTCGCGCCCGCAAAGCTATCCAAAAAGCCAAATCCTTTTATACCATATCGGCCGAGCAATTTGCGCGTTACGAACGTTAAGCCGTTATTTAAAAACGCATTTAGCGCAAAATTGCTAGCGCTACGATATTAAAAACTATTTAAAACATTTCCCAATAGCTTTACGCTATTGCCGTTTAAACGAAAAGGCAAGCTTAAGCTTTGGCTAGCATCGGTAATTCCTTTAACGAAATAAAAGCGTTTTTTAAGCGTTTCGAAAAAGGTATAATTGCTTTTTTTAATAATATTGCCGCTAGCTTTATTACGATTGCGGCGCATTTAAATACCCAGGCTTATAGCCGCGCGGTTTCCCGTAAAGGTGCAACGTTCGTATTAGCGCCGGGAAGTACCGCTTTCGGCGCCAATAACTTTAGCGGCAACGATTGTAGCGCTAGCGAAAAAAACGTAGTTTTCGGAAATTTTGGTTCCTTTAAATACGGCATTTAATCGATTTTTTTTACATATTTTCCTAATTAATTATTGGTATTTTTTTTCGAAAAATGGTTAATTTTAAATTTTTTTCGTTAATTTGTTACAATTAAAACCATAATTTCCTTTCGTTATATTGCTTTTATAACATTGCGAAATTTTAATGTCCTTAATTACCAATTAGGTTTTAATGCTTTAATAAATAATTTTAAAATGCTTTTTTTTCGCCCTTTAATGGGTTTAAATACCGTTAATATGCATTTACCGCTACCCGAACGCTTAAGCCCGTCCGCCGTATTATTTGGAGGTTTTTTTATTTCCTTTTTGGGCAAGCAATGGTATTTTTTATTATAACGTACGTTTAAAATGCGGTAATTGCTTTAGCGTATTGCGCCAAGCATGCCCTTTACGGGCTTTCCGAAGTATGTTATACTTTGCATGTTTTTCGGGATTTAAATGTATCGCATTATTAATTTGGGGCATTCCCCGTATTATACCGTTCCCATTTAACTTTTTGTTTATAAAGCACGATATTTTACGGCTATTACAAACCGCTTACGGGTTTTTTTACGTTCCTTTTCGGTGGCCAGCCGGTTCGGTACGTTAAAACATTCCTTTGGGCTATTTTTTTGGCTTTTGTTATTCCTTTCCTGTAATACCCCCGTTCCTTCCGGGTATTTACCCGTTAAAGTCCGGTATTTTCCCTATCCTATAAATTCGTTTCCAATAAATTTGCTTTATACGCTTAAACAATTTTTTTCGTAATATTTCTTTTTAAAATTTACAAATTTTCCAATTTGTTATAACTTATCCATTTAACCAAGTATTTTCGTTTCCGTAAAGGCCTTTTGTATTTTAACAAAGCCTTTACTTTAAAACGATCCTTTTTTTTTTCGATTTTTGGTTTTTTGTTTTTTGGTTTTTCGCCGGGCCTTTTTTTAAACGCCCGCAACAAATTTGCC